TTCAGCATCGATCAGAACATGAAGCATCTTCTAGACTTGCCATTGGCGTTCTTACCGTCACCGTTTTCGAGCACTTTGTGCCAATTCAATTCGCTATGCTACTGGTATTCTTCCCTCACCTTTTATTCAAAAGTTTCTGCTATTTTGATGTTGAATTCGCCATTAACATTCATGACCTTAGGTGGGGGACATCCGAGAGTGAGTGAGCCGAGAGCAAGTGAGCCGTTCCGTACACACGCCACTGCCATTCTTCCGTCACCCTTCTCGAAATATGGGCAGTAGTGCTGCCATGAGCTGTGGGCAGTAATGCTGCCATGAGGAGGTCGTATCAAAATAATTCCAAGTCCGGAAATCCTGTCAGTATTTGGAGGTTTAGTGCATAGCCTGAAGCTTGCACTATTCAGATATGGACAATGTATAACTTATTTACATGTGGTTTGTGTCTATTTTCCGTCCTGTACGCTCACAATTGTTGCTGAGTTGACGATTTAATCGCAATAGGTCTTTAAACAGAAGATAATGAACTCTAACGCTGATTCATTGTGAACCACTATTGGCAGGTGGTAGGCTTCTCTTCTTGTCGGCTCGTGAATGGTGATGGGAGCATTCATTGCATGAGGACCTGATCATGATCCGAACTCAGACTTCTTAAGGGAGATACGTTTTGTTCGTGCTTTTAACTCATAATGGCGGGTTCAGTAGTCGATCTGGTGATAAGAAGCGTCAAAGCAGCTGCCCTTGGAAGCGCTTTGAAATCTGTGGAGCTACCGTTGTTGGAGGTAAATATGAGATTGGAGGGTTGATATTCCGTTTTGTGGTGAAGTTGTGGACGTCCTGCATTCGTAGACGTTGCAGCTCATTGCTTCGATGTAACGGATCAGGATCTCGACAATCATCTGGGCCCTACATGAGTCAAATATTAGGTCGCAACGAAAGTCCTGGCGCATTTTTTCAAAGTCCTGACAAACGGCTGCGCATTAACCTGGAGGGGAAATTTTTTAACCATATACAGGAATGGTGATATTCCTTCATATTCTCGAGTCTCACCTCCTGCACGCTTTTTGGAGCCTGGAAAATGCCATACGTTTCTACCCATGTACGCCACTGACTTCTTTGCGAATTTTGTCTGGGACACACAGCGAGCGAAGCCTGCCGCAAAATATGCTCTGTGGAAGTAGAGGGAGTGGTAAGTGAAAAAACCTGCCAACTTTGGTTCAGAAGGTTCCGCGAAGGAAACTACAACCTCGAAGATGGACGCCCAACGAAAGTTAATTTCGAACGTTTGGAGCTGTTACTTCAAGACTTTCCGCATGCAAGCGCCATGGAGCTGGCAAAGGAGATGCACTGCTTCAACATGGCCACAGGTCGTGTTCATCACATGCTGGAAAAAGTTGAGAAACTTGGTCGATTGATCCCTCATGAGCTGACAGAGCATTGCAAGAAAAGAGGTATCGGGGTGTGCAGAGGTTTTCTTGCAAGGAGTCGCCGTTTCGACTGGCTGGATAATGTAATTACTGGAGATGAAAGGTGGGGGCTCTACGTATGTCATACCAGAGAGAAGACAGTGGATGGGTGCGAACAGAAGCCAGAGCCTGTTCCAAAGCAGGAGGTTCATCCCAAGAAAGTTCCTCTGTCAGTTTGGTGGAGTGTTCGGGGAACACGTCATTACGAGATGCCAGACAATACCACCGTCGACGCTGAGGTGTACTGCTCACAACCACGAAGGCTCGCAGCTGAAGTCGCGAAACTTCGCCCGAAGCTGGACGAAGTCCCTTCTTCTTCATGACAACGCGCGACCACATGTTGCAAGGGTAACCCAGGACACATTGGCGGAACTTGGATCTGCGGTTTTACCCCATCCTCCATATTCGCCAGGTCTTGCGCCTACGGATTACCACCCACTCCTTTCCCTGGCTCACTTCTCAAAGGATAAAAAGTACGACAACTGTCAACAGTTGAAAGCGGACATGGGCACTTCTTCGACTCGAAACCTGCCGAATTTTGAAACCGATGGCGGCCTGTTGTAGGTACTTGTGGGAATTATTATTAGGAATAAAGTTCAAAGAAAAATATGAGCTTTTGAAATCGAGGGTCGAATCCGCCATTACTTTCGTTGCGACCTAATATATTTGCCTTCGCAACAATCAGGGTTCAACCTTGGTCGACCTCAGCGAAAATGTTCCCAGCTCTCAATTATCTGGACTGCAGAGAGAACAGGTGCTTTATTTGATGTTTCCACAACACTCACCTCTTTTGCCTGAGCGGGTGCTGTTCAGGTGGTTGACAATGGATCTGAGCGCCATGAAAGGATTACAGCTCGCTCCACATGGAGCACTTGTTTTTGAGTACGCCTGTGTCACAGTATGCGTTTTGGAACTATCACCTTGAAATTGCATCCGATAACATATGCTTGTTCAGGTGTGCGGCTGAGATTTTTTTAGGATTTTGGAAAACATTCCCAAAATTTTCCGATATTCACTATTTTTTGCTTTCTTTCTTTCCCTTCATAACCGCTCACACTGAGGGAATTGGAATCGAGTTCGAATAATTTCCACAACATTCTCTCAGGAAATGGCTTCTGATAACAATCGTGTTGTCGGAGGAATGAACGCTTACCAAATTCTGATTCATTGCTGTATGGGTGCGTAACCGCAAGTATTTCACAGCCCAACTGTG